TTTCAGGAAAAAATGACTTCCAGGATGTCTGCTACCCCCCGACGAGTGCTTTGTCATTGTGGCCTGCAAACCACACTTTTGACCTCACGGCAGGCACATAGCTACGGTCGGAAGTTTTATACATGCCCCCGAAGCATTGCCGATCAATGCAGATTTTTCCGATGGGCGGACAGTTTCTCTGATGCAGAGGATGACGGTGCTAGTGATTTGCGAGTTCCAGACGACGAGGGGCAGACACGGGAGCTACAACGTGTCATTGTTCGAAATAACACTACCATCATGCTACTCGTCGTGGTCGTATTTGTACAGTTTTTTTTCATTCTGATTCTCCTAGCCAGTGGTTGAGTGACATTTCTGTACTCTGTGCTATTTTGGATGTAAGAAACTGTATGAGTTCTTACGTTTTTATGTAAGAAAAAACGACTTCTTAGTGGCTTAAGGTGCATATATGTATTTTACATTTTATGCTTATAAAATATGTTTGTAAATTTGTATTTGTATAGATGGATTAATATTCATATACTTTGATATATAGATGAAAAAAAAATTTTAAACCTATTTGTGCTCCAAATTACATTTTTTTTAAAAAAAGTGTATAAAGTGAATGTTGAAAACCATTTATTTTATTTAATTAAGTAAAAAATAATATTTTTTATAAACTTGATGTATATTAAGCCCATATTTATACAAATAAATCGAAATATTTTAAACAGTTTAACAGACAGGGGCAGATTGGTCATTTTTACATTAACAGCTGGCTCACAACATTTTTCACACAGCTGCACCAAACAGACAGTCAACTTCCCCACAGCTGCTTCCAGGGGCAGCGCAGCTGCAGCTGAAAAGCTGAGAATCTGCAGCTGCGCCAAACAGGCCCTTAGTCTTAATCCCATAGTGGAGCCACAACAATTTGTTGTTATGCATCAACGCCTCTAAAGCCCATTTGATCTTTGCATACAGCGTTGAAATTTAAGTATTCTTCAACAAGTCTTGGTTTCCGTTTTTATAAGTTTTCCTCTGTGGCCTAGATGTCCTCAATAGCTAGCTCATTCTTTTATTTGATCAAAAATCCTTGATCCTAAACTTTGTTTATAAACATTTATTGATTGAAAATACACATCAAAGACATTTGATGGTAAGGATACCTAGTATTGGTTAAAAAGGTTTATTTACAAAGGGCTAACTACATTTCCAGGTTGGTTGACTTCTCTCAAGAAATATAATATCCTCAATATTTAAGATTTAGCTATTTAATATGTCAAATGACAATTTAAGATTACACACTTGAGGTCCAAAGTTGTTATAATTTGAATGAGCCAAAAACCTTAACTTGTAATTTCCTATATTTGAAGAATTGATATCTTTCAAGGCAAATACGAATTAAAACAAGATCACCTTCTTCATATTTTTCAAAAGAAAAATATGATTATGATTTACCTTTTTAGCATATATTGCATTACTTATAGTTAGCTATTCTCTCACCTTAGTGTGAAGGATTTGAAAATCTTTCATATATGTAAAACAAAAAATAAGATTCAAGGAGATAGCCACATCATTCGATCTCTTTGAATTTTATCCATAGACTATCTCAGCGTGGTTAGACGAAGATCCAAATTCTTGAAACTCCTTTCTACTAAGCACCCAAATAAACTCACAACAATCCTATTAACAACTTCCATCCATCCATCAATCTAAGAGTAGAAGGCAGAGAAAAAATTATATTTATATCAAAATTTTCTACAATATCTTCCAAGATAACAACAACAACAACAAAGCCTTAATTCCACTACAATATCTTCCAAAAAATAGGAAACAAATCTCACATCCGTATTTAACACATGGTGGAGTGTAGACCACACAATCTCACCATCTCCATAAAAAGACTCTTAACATGTGTGATGTAAAGGGTAGAAAATAATCCATCTAAATAATTTGTCCACAACCAAAAAAATAGTACCATGCCCTCTCGTAATCATAAGATTAACAAGTTCTCCAAAAATCTATAAGGAATAAGTAATGCAACGTACTTCCTTAATCCATGTTTAGTGGCTTTGGCTTGTTTGCAAGTGTAACAATGGCCACTAACTTCTAAACATTCCTATTCAGTGAGGAGCAATAAATATCAACTCAACTAAACATTATCTTATTATTCTCTAAATGGCCTGCCATATTAACTAAAATGCAATTTAGCCATGAGAAACTCTCTGAGAAATGATCTAATGATATACAACTTCTTTTTGATGCAGAAGTAAACACCAATCACTAAAAAAGAGCTATGTTTTGTAAGCTTCTTGTTGGATTCTCAATGATATGAAAATCTAGACATAAATGATAATATTTTTTTAGTCTATCAAAATTGGAGATTTGAAATTCTATAAAAGATAATATCAATGCAACTCCAATATTGATATGGACTAAGCAACAAGTCCACGGTGATATTTCTTCATATAGTGCATTCGCTATGGCATTTTTTTGAAATATCAAGCTAGGTTATTTTTATAGACATTTGAAAAACATCATTATAGGAGCGAATGGAACAAAAAAACTTGAACCAAAAAACTCAAAGAGTGATATTATAAAGTTGAAAAGATTTAGAATTGTGAGAGCTTCATGTTAGATTCTTGATGGCATGAAAATCTAGACATAAATGATAATCTTTTTTTAGTCTATCAAAATTGGAGATTTGAAATTCTATAAAAGATAATATCAATGCAACTCCAATTATGATATGCACTTAGCAACAAATACACGATGATATTTCTTCTTATAGTGCATTTTCTATGGCAATTTTTTGAATGTTGAATATCAATTTAGGTTATTTTTGTCGACATTTGAAAAACATCAAATTCTATAAAAGATAATATCAATGCAACTCCAATTTTGATGTGCACTAAGCAACAAATGCACGGTGATATATCTTGTTTTGGTGCATTTTCTATGGCAATTTTTTGAACATTGAATATCAAGCTAGATTATTTTTATTGACAATTGATAAACATCATTATAGCAGCAAATGTACCACAAATTTTGAACCAAAATATTCAAAGAGTGATATTATAAAGTTGAAATGATTTAGAATTGTGAGAGTTAGACAATTGGATTGCTAGTTGTGTTGAAAAACTTGTCTATCAGGATATTTTCCATGGATAAATTTAGATGTGTCTGGTTTTGAGTCAATGTTCATTAAATAAAATTTATGTTATAGTTTTCCTTGCTACAACCCTAAGTATGGATATCTCTTCTGAAGATGAAATTTTATGGCAATTTATGAATGTTGATGGCATCATGTTATTGACATTCACAACACAACATTATGGCAGGTTATTTATTGCTAGAGAATTTTAACCAAAAAAAAAAGAATGGAGAGAATAAAATTATGGAATTGAAATAGTTTAAGATTTTTTAATGTTAGAGAACTGGCTCATCAAGTGCTTTGAAAAACTTATCTATTAGAATTATTTCCATGGCTAAATGTGCATCAGCTAGGCATATTTCAATGAAAATTTTCAAGATAAATCACCAAATAGAAACTAATAATGGACATTTTGGCTTCGAAATTTTTTTACATGAAGAGCAAGAAAACAAAACTAAAAATTACAAGTAATTTTGAAAATATTTAGGAAATATCTTTTGTAACAAATATCCTATAATTTCATAGAAAAATTGAAAGCTACACAACATCAAGATTCTTTACAAAATGAACAAAACATTAACTAATTTTACCACTTCTTTACATGGATTAGATTTCATTGAACTTGAGATACTTGCATGGTGCCCGTCAAATTTCTTGTTCCAATCAAGCATTTTTTGAAGATTTGCTTAAGTTAGAGCTACTTGCTACTTTAGACATACACGGTTGTGCTATCATGCTATTAATCTATAGCTGAGTGTTTGTATTCATCACTGTTAACATAAATAGGAGTGTTAAATCAAGCTCGCAGTTCAGATTAGGGCTCGTCCAAAATTGACCGACTTGAAATTACATGATACAAACCTAACCCAAATATTAAATGGGGTAGAGTCCAACTCGAAATGGACACGTCTTCAACCCACAAGCCCAAGCCTGACCCTTATAACCAATTTAACATAAGACATAATAATTATTTGGATCAATTTCAGGTCAATCATGAGTCAATTTCGAGTTTGTGGGGCTATGTCGAGTCAATTTCAAGTTAATAGGTCAATTTTGAGTTTGCAAGTCAACACAAATACGACCCCAAAAAATTAAACCAGTTAGGATTCTTAGCCCAACCTCAACCTAAAAATTAATCAGGTCAACCTTAGCTCAATTTTTTCTAGTTGAGTCCAGGTTGAGTTGGCATGTCGGGGTCAGTTTTTGACTTCGGCAATTTTTGACACCTCTAAACATAGTGAAAATTTATTGATAGAATCCACATGGAATCATGGGGATACAACATCCATTTTTTTAATAAAAAGAACAAAGTTATCCATTGCCATGAAAGTTTATTCATTCAATTTAAATTAGCTTCAATATAAATTAAGGGGCTCTTTTATATGATAATGAAACAATATGTGCAATTCACTAAAAATTTGTATTCATACTACTGCATAGGAATGAAAATAAAAATTAGGTAGGTAGGGTGAGTGAGCTTGAACACTTAATCATGTGATACATGTTGAAAGAATGTTGTAAGTATGAAAAAATGCATACACAACCAATATTGTGTGTTAAAACAACACACTAAACTCAAAGTCCTAATGTTTAGCAAAAGCTCATCCTTTTAACTACATTCATCAGGTCCAACAAGAAGTTAAGGTTATGGGTAATAATATTATAAAAATATACACGAAAGCATTTTGATACTATAAACGAGAAAAGTAGCCCTTCAGCATTACAAAATACAAAAAAAAGCCTTCTAAAATAATAATTTTCCTTCACAAAGATTGAGAGACATAACAAGACTACTCACAACAGTGAGCATTGATTACAAAGAGGTGAGTTCATAGATCAATGAAGCACCTCTACACGAGTAAATTACCTCGCAAATATGCCATGCACAAGGACAAGGAGATGATCAGGTCCATGCTTGACCTTAGAAATGTTGTATGGAGTTGTAGTTCCTCCTTCCATTGTACCGATTGTATGGTATCCCAAACTCAGATCATAGCTGATAATACCTAATCCTGCATGGATAAATCTCAACACTTTGACAACATAGAAGTTGTTACAAGTATATGACTTGGCTTCTAAGTCAAGATGACACCAGAACCTTTGTGCCAAGAGATTGATTGTTTTCGAAGAAAGATTCTTGATGAATATCCATGAAACATTTTCCAACCAGTTATTCATTTAAAAAAAGAAAATAATTAGGTCAGCCTATTCTGATCCAATTCATTTCAAAATGTTCTTCAACATTTGACATGTGGCCTCTCTGCTATATTTAAATGATATGAAACGTGTGATTCCAGTTTGCAAATAATAAAAGATTACTGAAAATATTTCCGGAAGATAAAACTTAAAAATATTAAGAGGTATACATGTGATTGACAAAACAACAATCAAAGAAGGTGAAACAAAAATCATGTCAATACATACCATAATTTAACAAATACAAATTCTGTAAAATATTTGCAATAAAAACTATGATACTAAAACGAAATATTAAGACAAACTTTTCTTTTGAGGAAGTCCTCATCATGTGTCATACCTTTTCATGCCACATGAGAGCATATTCCACTTTACATGTCAACTTTTAAAGAACCTAATGGAATTCAGGATATACAGACCTTTTTTTCTCCTTAAGAAAAAAACTTGTTCGATGAAAATATTGCAAAGATGTAAGCCAGGCATCAATTCTAAAAGGAAAAGTGCTTAATAAGGTCCCAAGTCAAAACAGGATTAAAATTACCACAATCACTCTCTATCTATCACTCACTAGTATGTTCCCTCAAAACTTTGACATGCTGAATGTTTAAAGAAAGAGGCTATAATCACATTCTAATAGTTCAAAGATCATATTGTTTCTACTATCTATAGTTGATGAAGATGAACAAATGAACCAATTTGCCTTATTCCATAGCCTCATTAACCTTGCAAGAAACAATCTATCCTTCAACATTTATTGATTTAATGACCTTAAGTTTATGATTGATAGTAGCATAATCTAAGCATGAAGTGACCTCAAGTGAGAAACTTCCAAAATACATTATATTCAAAAGAAGCATAAAAAAAAAGTATCTAAAAAGCATTACTTGATGCACCTTCTCAAGTAAAAAACTAGACGAATACAAAGCATTCAATAAAAAGATGGAAAAACAACCCTGTAAAGACTAATACTTAATGCAAATATCTAGCCGAGAACTGCATATTCAAAAAAAAGAAGATTCACCCCCTCCCTTCTTTTTAACAAGTAAACCAGCAAAAACCAAAATTCCAATAACATTCACTCCAATCCTTCTTTTGTAATAAGGAAACCAGCAAAAATCAAAAAACTCCAACATTCAAATCAAAACCAACCGTTGCATCACTTCGTCCCAAGGAACCAAGAGACATACTTTCCCACACCAAATAACCCGCAAAATTCTTGGCCCTTCATCAACAATACGATCAGTCTCATAAGTACTCAAATCACCTTAATTTCAACCCCAACCCCCGTTTTTCACAATAAATAAATAAATAAAATCTCAAACAGAACCACCACATTCTAAACCCTAATTCCAACATAAAACCGAACAACAGATGAAAAACACTGAAACAGACCTGCAAAATTTTCGCGAGGCCGCGAAGGAGTTCCGAAGCAATCGGAACAATAAATGGAGCAAGACGCCTGCCTACCTCTCCTAATCTTGTTGCCTACAGCGGTGCACCGATAACTACGGTAATGGGCAAGAGATGGCGCGCACGCCATCCTATGGAAGAGGGGACAAATTGGGAACAATGCCAGGAAGTAGTGTAGGGATCTCTCTCTTTCATTTATCTACGTATATCGATTTCCATTGGAGTTTGGCACTCTTTGTCTTCTTTGAGTTCATGACATCATCTCCAACCGTCATGTCGCCTTCGACGCTCAGATCAGCGGGAAGTGTACTGGTTTTGCATATCCAGAACGGGCGGGCGAGAATATATATATAGAGAGAGAGATGCATATGATTCATTGGGTGAAAAATGAGAGCCACTTTAGCTAATTAAATATGAGTTATTCAAGAATAAAGAATGATTTTAATAATCCTAATCACGTGGCCACTAAGGATGTAAACGAGGTGAGCTTGAATGAGTCTAGACTCTGCTGGTTAAACAATATCATTGTATATGTTTGACTCATTTATATATTGAGTTCAAAAATTTTGTCTTTATTTGACTTGTTTGTTTATCAAATCGAATAAGAGTTGTTCATCAACAATAAGTCATTTTGACAACCCTAAGCACACAACCATAGGATATTATGGGCAATATGAGATTTAAATCTTATTATTTATATGAAAATATTCATTTAAATATAATTTAATATATTATTATTCTATTTTTAATTAGTATTGTTAATTGATTATAAATATTTTAGTCTTGTAGTCAATTAAATTATTTAAAAACAATACTATATATATATAATGCGTATTATTTCGAGCCAAAAATAAACCAAACAAAACATGAATGAACAAATCTTTATTCGTGTTTGGATTGTTTATATATCGAGCGAAAAAAAAAGTATTTGTATTCAACTTGTTTTCTTAGCGAACAAATCGAGCATGAGCTATTTAAAGAGCTATACACGAGCTATCCTCAAAGAACAAGTCATTTTGACATAATAAATATATATTTTTTTAATTTTAAAAAAGTTTAAAAAATAATATTTTTATGTGATATTAAGGATTTTTGTAGAATAAAATTAAAAATGAAAGTCTGTGTTAGATATGTAAATACATAGAAATTGAGTGATATGTAATTGGGATAGAGGGAGAGGGAGAGAGGAAGATTTAAATGATCCATCTTCTTATTATTCACATGTCTAATATCTAAACATCAATTATTACATACATGTCACTTTATATAAGCACGAAGAAGTGTGTTTTATTTTGAAAAAGTTTAAATGATGATTATTTTGATTTGACACGAAAGATTTTGTATGAAAAAAAAAATAAAGGTTCGGTGCTAGATATTTAAATACATAGAAATGAAGTGATATATATGTAAATGCTTGTAGATAAAATGCATAAACTTTAATTTTTATCTTTATTACAATTAAATCTTTTGTATGACATAAAAAATATCATTATTACAAACTTTGAAAAGTCTCAAAATATATTTTTAATGCATAATTTAAGTGATATAAATGTATAATTCTTAGCTTAGGTGCTAAATTTGTAAATGCTTAAAAATTATGTGGTATTATAAGATATATATTTTGGCATAGTATGTGAGTCTCGTTGGATTGGTCGATACATGTGTTGAATCTAAAAGTGTCGGTGAAACACGCCCAAGGAATAGAATGTTCTGCTAGGAAGTGATAATGGAGAGAGAGAGGGAGAAAGATAGAGAAAGAGAGAGAGCACAGTAGGGAACAGTAAAAAAGAATTTACTTTATTCATGACATGGGCCATATTTATAGGCATAGGTCAAAACATTATAAAAGTACATAGCATTAACCTTTTAGGAGGACTTTTTGGTAATTATAAAGTTATTCACATATAATAAGATCGAGGATTGATTTGACTGATGATAATTGTCGATCGTTTGGTAAGTCTTGACTTGTTTGATATCTAGTCTGAAAGAGTGCTATCGATCGATCGTCCTGAAAGCTGATTACCATCTTGTAGGAGCTTCTCTTGGCACCTTTAGCCAATCGTTCGATCAAAACACTTCTCTTTCCAATATTAAGCCAAACAACGATCATCGAAGACTATTTTTTATCGTTTACATCTTCTTCCTGAGCTGTTCATCTGCCTTGAGATTTGTTCTAACATATTATATATATATACATATCAAGTTCTCCAATTCTCTTGCTACTCAGAAGATGTATAATACATGAGGATAAGATAATTTTTTTAACATGTATGAAATAATTAAATGACATTATTGCACAGTAATGGACTTTCCTATATTTTCGTGCCTTGGCCATTATAAATAGAATTTGGGGTAAGGGAGGTTTGCATCGTCTCCATCTCTTCTAGATCCTTTGTCACGTGTCCTTCTCTTTTCATATTTTTTTGTGATGTCTAGAGGAATGTCGCCTTCTGATAAGAGTGTCTTCCTCAAAGCCATGAGTGATAAGTGTGAACAAGCCCGTAAGTTGGATGTGAAGCATAAGTCTGTGAGTGAGGTATCCACGAAAGGGGTGAGCAGGAAGAGAGCTATGCCCAAGCCAGGTGACAGTGATCATGAATGCCGACTTGGTTATTTCGGTTTCAATGTAGGCTCACCCCATAAGAGGGCTGCAGGACAAACTAGAGGCAATCTTGACGATCATCCTATGAGACACTTGTCAGGGGTGAGTGTTCCTGTTGCAGGAGGGAGATTATCTGTCCAGATGGGATCAAGATCCCCAAGAGTGGTCCTAAGGAGACGGGAGCTGGGGCCGAGACATGGCTTTGATCAACTAAGAATGGTCTTTCTTCTGAAGGAGGAGGACAAGGGAAAGCCGACGAGGACATTTTTTCTTACACCACATATGAATGATGGAAGATTCTTGGTATGTAGCTTGAATAGCCTTTTTCATCTCTATTTTTTTGGTGCAACAACTGAAGTATTGACTTTCGATGTTGTACTGGTAGATACTGATGTTGGTCCTGAGGATGACACAGCGCTTGTAGACCAGGTTGTGGTCGAGGGAGTGAATACGTGATATTTTACCGCAGGGAGAGTGAATATGGTAGAACTGAGTGCACCGGAGCAAGATGCCGAGCTAGATGTTGAGGATCATGGTGTTGAAGGTTGGGGTGTTGGAGGTCAGGGTGCAGACCATCAAGTTTCTTCTGGTGCTACGAGGGGGGAGGAGGAGGTGACCGGGGGCGCCGTGTCTCATCTGACTTCATACTTCACCGCCTTGCTGAGATGGAGGAGCAATTTCTTCATTATATAACTACAGTTATATATATATCATATCATATTAGTCAAACTAAAGGGTACCGGGGTTAACTCAAACCACAACAACAGAAATAAATAATATTAAGTAAAATGGTTGGGGTTACAACTAAGATTCCAACATAAATAAAAATAAGGAAAAATTGGTAATATTCGACTAGTGTTGAATAAGGATATTTGTGGGTAGCGGAGGCGAGGTTGGGATTGACAATGGAGCAGGATGAGAGTTGTTAGGGTGATCGGTGACTAGAGGTTGGAAAGCTGGGCTGCCAGGGGGGCTGCAGGCCAGTGACAGGAAGTTGGACAAGCAAGGCTGCAAGTCAGTTAGTGGGAGTTGAAACAATAGGGAGGTTGGCTAGATCGACGATTAGAAATTAGACAACAAGGCTATAGATTAACAGGTGGAATTTGAAACAACAGGGAGGTGGGTTGTAGTCCGACGGTTGCAAACTAAAACAATTACTGAAGTTCTTTAGAGTGTCGACCAGGTGATGAGAGATTTTGCTGCACTGTGCGAGGAACTCATGGTTTTTCAAGGTAAGATGCTTGTCGATCGTGGGGAAGTGACATGATTTTGTTTAGAACTATTGGTTGTTAGAGAGGCCATCACCGCTCAGATAGGGATATCCAGAATGACCTATTCAGGTTGGGTGGTGAGTTTATGTATGAATGAATTTGTTATTGAGGGTTTGTCTCGGGCGAAGCTGCGAACAGTCTCTTAGTTATAATTTTCCTTCCTCATGTGTAACCAAGGTTTTCCCGCAACGTTCCCCCTTCTTTTATGTATATAAATAAATAAATAATAAAATAAATTATTTTATTTTTCTATTTATGGTAATGATTAATTTATTTGGGTGACGTGTAGTTTTGTCACATCAGTAGCTTTGGCGGGATTTTAGCTTCCTAGGTATCTCTTTTCGTATTTATATACATATAGGTCGTGCAATCGTTCAGAGCTTCTGTTCCTTTTCTTTCTTCAGTTCTTTTTTCCGTTGGCTTCCATATTTTGCTATTCTTTTCTTATTTTTTCTCACATAATATCATAGATTCCTTGGTTCAGAAATACTCTCAGAAATCATTTGGTTATATTCCTGCTACAGAGGTTTTAGTCCTATCTGCGGCAGACATAAAGATATTTAGAATCGTTGTGTTTTGGATCCTACAAATCTTCGACCTGCTCTCTCGACCTTGTCTTTTATAAAGCTCACTTTAAGATGGGTCTTCGGCTGTCGTTTTGTCAAGAGTTGTTGTCAATTTTGAATCATTATAGTATCATCCTTGCTCACATCCTTCCCACCTCAATTATCATTATCATGACCAATGTGCTCTTCTGTCTTAGTATGAAAAACCTGTGGTTGAACAAACTCTTAAATAATTTCTTTTCATCCTGTGTTGGTCGTGATAGATATATTTAGTTCTCCGACAGTACTAACAATCAATTGATGGGGCTTGAGAATAAGGTGAAGGACCGGAAGACAAAATTCTTGGTTGCCTCGTGTGTGGACGAATGGGGGATCTGCACTTCTCCTACAGAGTATGAGGTGAAGAAAGTGAAAACTTATGAAGGGAACGTTTAAGAATACAGGGGGTTGATTGAGGGCAAGCACGTCTCTTTATTTCAGTAACTTGACCCAACGTGATTGAACACATGATTTGTTTGGATTAGGTTGATATCATGACCGAGTATTTGTGGAGATCTGCTGCCCATAAGGAGGTTGCTTAGGAGAGTTGTTGGGGAGAGGGTGGATTTGAAGAGGTTTTAGCAGAGAGGTGGTCATCCCTCACTCGGCAGAGGCCAGGGTCGGTTCGACAAAATCAGGTCGGCCGAGGGGGACGATGAAGGTTGGTGCTAATTATTTTCTTGTTTGTTTGTGTGAAAAACACATTTTTTTTACCTTTTGTGTAATTTGTTTGGTTCTTCGAAAGGGAGCAAGGGGGACTCTACTGATTGCCTAGCCTTTTTTAGTCCAGAGGCCCATCAGTGTTTTGGTGGTGATGAGGAGGCCT